ATTTTTTTTTTTTTTACTTCCGAATTAGATTTATTTAAATAAAAATGTAATTAATTCATGTTACATCTAATCAAAACATTCAATGTTTTTAGAAATTATTCAATTTTAAAGAATTACCTTATATATTTTTTTCATTTTTCAAATACGCAGAAGGTATAGAATGGTACCATGCAAATCTCAATATGCATTCATCTGGTATCTTTTAAAATGTAAAATGTTATAATCTTTTATTGATAAACTGTACTACTCTATCTATTAAACTTTAGCCCACCAGCGGCCAAGCGGTAAAGTAGCTGAACACTGGTAGTTCGGTCCGAGGTTCGAATACCGCGAACGGGCTGGCTGCATGGGCGTTTTCGTGGTTTTCCCCATGTGTAACGTGTATACGAGCCAGTTTCCCTTAGAAAGTTCTCCACGAAGGCATCCCTCCCTTTAGGCAGATAGGCCTCGAGGCTTTGCCATAATCACACATACATACTATTAAACTTTAAAACAGCCCTTTAGGGTGACCGTTAAAATCGGAATAAGTTCAGATGTTAGTTTCAGTTTTTTTATTTATTAGCTGTAAGTCTCGAAATGGGCTTTTGCGTCGAATCACTATAAATCCTTCGTTTCAATTTTCATTCGAGGCTGTTGTCATTCGGCAAAATATACGGCTTTCATATAGAATATGTTGGTCGTGAATTAACAAACTGAACTATTCGAAAACAACAGATGCAATTCTTTATTCATTTCTTACTTTTGAACTCGATTGATTTAAAAAATAAACACACATTTAATTCATGATCTATCCTAACTAAAAATATTAACTCAAATTTTTCACTGAATGACGTTATATACTTTTTAGCCAAAAGGAACGTTATCTCAGAAGGGCTATTAATTTCGTTTTGGGATTTTGCGTCGATTCATTATAAACAGTGAATCACTTTCGAAATTGTTGCCACCAAATATTATCGCCCGGGATTATATTTAAAGAAATTAAATAATGAACAATCTGCTTAACAATGATTTAATGCCCGAGATTCGTAGTAGAGTCATAGATGCTAACCGATGTTTTTTCGGTCTCAAACAATACTTGAAGTCTAACTTCACTAGCAGAAAGATTTTAATTTACAAAAGCTTAATCAGACTCATTCTTACATACTCTGCTGAAACCTGGGCAATGACAGAAAAAGCTAAAAGTATCATTTCTGTCTTTGAAAGAAAAATTTTGAGAAGTGTTTTTGGTGGCATACAATGTAACAATATCTGGAGAAAAAAAACTAACTCTGAACTCTATAAATCCTTTAAAAAAATAGATACAGTAAAATATATAAGGATTCAGAAAATTAAATGGGCAGGACACCTGTGCAGAAAGGATGAAAATCGAGTAACTAAAAAGGTCTTCTCGGCCAGACCATTCGGCACCCGAAAAAGAGGGAGACCTAAACTTAGGTGGCTCGACTATTTGGAAACAGACTTAAGAATTTTAAAAATAACCAATTGGATGTCCATGGCCAGGGATAGAAGAGCTTGGAATTCGATTTCTGAGGAAGGCAAGGCCATCCTGGGCTGTCTGGCCATTGAAGAAGAATAGAATCTGCTTAAATATATGTATGTTTCTCGCATTGTAATAAAACAACGGTACCTAGAGCCATCCAATTTTGAATAACGTACGTCTCCATCCGAATATTGGCATCTGAAAGTCCGAATTTGGGATTTCTTTTATTATGTATTTCATATTTTGTAAAGCATTTATGGGTTTTTGATTAAGAAATTCAATGATTTCAAAGCGAGCACGGCAACATTGTACGGGAGGGGGACATTTTTATCTGCAGCGCTCGAGACTGTGTATCGGAAATTCTAAAGATATACTCTTTTAAATATTTTACGATATTGCTGTTGGATTGAATTTTACGGTTTAAGTGCGGAGAACAGGATATTTAATAAATAAAGGTAACACTCAAAACGTTCAAAACAAAGGCCTCTTTGGGCATAATATAAAAGCTGAAAGGTTTCAGTTTTTTTTTTAATTATTTGTTATTTATTTAATATTTTGTAAAATTTTAATGAAGTTTTGATTAACAAGCTCTACAATTTGAAAGCGAACACTGTACGAAATAAAACATTTTTATCTCCAGTTCTAGAGACTATATACATCCTAAAGACATGCTCTTTTTAAATATTTTGTGATTTTGCTGTTGAATCGAATTTTATGTTGTGTAAGCCCCAAGAATGTGATACTTAATAAATAATATAAACACGCAAATCTTTAATTGTAAAAAGAAAACAAAAAGTTTTGTAAAGCCATCTTAGTTAGAAAAGTGAACATTGATATGACAAACGGAAAAAAGACTGAAAAAAATACAAAAAATGTTATGCCAGCACTTAAGACTGCATCGTGAATTCTAAACATATCCTGCTTGATAGCAAAAATTGAAAGCAGAAGAGAAACACCCCGAGTGAAACAAAATGCAAGACTGGAAAGTCTTGCAGATTTCTTTACTCCTGATGAAGAGTGACCTGTTTCCCCTCGAAATCTATTCAGATCTTGACTTAAATCTACGCCAAGCTTAAAGTTGTTGTATTATTAATTATATACTGTTGTTATAATTTTAGCAACTTTGCTATTGTATGTGACTTAAGTGCAAAGAAAATGATACTTAATAATAAAGCTGAGACGGCAAAAATAAATGAGTTAGCAGGAGTGAGTGCAACAGCTGACAGCTCAGTGAGAGTGTAAAAAATCTTAACAAAGCATTTTGGGCTCCCTTAAAAATCTGAAACATTTCAGGTTTTTTTGTTTTAGTCAATTCCCAGTTTTATCCGCGCAGAATTTTACAAATGTTGTTTAGTAATTTTTTCCCGCTTTTAAATGATAATGTGTTAATTATGTATTATGGTTTTGTGGAAAATATTACAATTGATTTGAACGTAAACACTAGCAGCTTTATCTTTTATTATACGTGCATAATTGGCAATTGTAATAAAATCATTACGTCTGATGGTATGAATTTTAATTTATAATTTTAGCAGAAATGCTAAATTGCGGTAAATTTTCTTTAAAAAGACATTTCGGTAATAACAACTGCTTGACCAATTAAATGCGAAGCATTGAATTACATAATGAAATTTGAATATTTCTCGTGCTATTCAATTAATTTTAATTAAACTCTTCACATAACAAGTACAATCAAACTTAGTTATAACAAGCATTCGGGGAGCAATAAAATTCATTCATTGTTATCGTAACTCTTATAACTTTATTGGTCTAAATACATTTGGGAAAAGAGTCAATTAAAATTATTATAATTTTGTAAACATAATCGATGCGATACCATTCAAATCGATTTCGATTTTCTTTTCCCCCTGACTCTCGAAGCATAAAGTTTACTTCATAGACTGTATTTAAATCTGAAACATTTAAGGGAAACCAGGCACTGAATTAATTATTTTGACTTCGAATTTTCAGTTTTTCGAAGGTAAGAAGCCAATTTCTTTTTTCATATTGGATACTAAGCAAGCTAAGATGTCGAATCATAATAACAGTGCAAAAAATAAAATATTTATCAAAATGGAAATGGAAGATAATATATAAATATTACTCGTATTATGTCATTCCTAAGCTAAGACATTTATCATAATAAAAATGGCATAAAGGAATAACGTTAAAAATTAAAGCATCTAAACATAAAAGAACAGTATTAAAAATTTCTTTTAAGTCGACACTAATTGTTGATACGATATCAATATTTCTTTGTATCTGAATTTGTCTTTCTATATTACGTTACTCCTTAAGCATAGATCATTAGATCATTTTAAAATTTTATTTTGATGGAAATATATATGTATTTTTATCAAAATAAAATTTAGAACATTTTGTCACCCCAAGTTATATATATATATATATATAATTTAAAAAAAAGGAGGCCAATAAATATTTGATTAAAAAAAAAGTACACATAAACAAATTTAACTTTTCTTCGGTAAATCACCAGATAAAATTTTGATTTTAAATGTGACTGAATTTCTTGAAATTTCCGTCCCGCAAATTATATAAATTAAAGATATATTGCTAATAATTCAGATAATTCTACCCAAAAATCTACCTTAAATCGATGATAAAAAATTTACAGTGCTAAAACTCCGTATTATTTTTTCCCCCACGGCTATTTAAAATGAATCAAAATGGAATATTTAAAACTTTGTTTTTCTAAATTCTTTATTTTTTTAATGATCCGAGCAACAAACGTATATTTTTGTGAAAATCTACAGGAAATTCTACATTTTAACAACTATCTAAAATATTTCATATTATTTTTTGTTTTTACATGACAACAAAGATTACGCTTTTGAGCAGAAAAAACAAAAAATATTTTATTTTCCATTCAGATTTATATTAAAGATATGCGAAAGTGTACATATTGAAACCAAATATTGCATAAACAATGCACCAGAAAAAAAAAAAAAAAGTTTGAGCGTACGCGAATGACTTAATATAAAATATTACATCAGCCTTTTGGCTCTAAGAGTATTAAAAATTTAAAAAAAAAAATTGTCAAATTTTATATAGTTGCATATTTACTTAAATTACAGAAGCTTCATGATAAGCAAAAACATCTCGTCCAGAATTTAAAGATGTTTACACATTTGTCCTTTGCAAAATACTATTTTGAATAATAATAATAATTTAAACTGTTTAAAAACTGTTAATACATTTGCATGTTTACTTAAATTACAGAAGCTTCCTGACAAGCAAAAACATTTCGTTCGAAATTTAAAGATTATCCTTTGCCAAGTACTATTTTGAACAGTGTTAATAATAAATCAAACTGTTTAAAAATTTTTTGAATTAAGTTTTGAAAGAAATGTGTATTTTAAGTCGGTAATTTTTAACCCTTTTCTTCTAATTTATTTATCCAAAATTTCTCAGCAACTTTTCGAAACATTAACAAATTACCTTTCTGTTTCGATTATATCGTGTGCAATGTTAAAAATTAGAAACACATGCTTTTACTTACATGGTGGTTATTCCCGAATTTCTAAATATCCAAATTTGCACGAATTAATTGCGACATATATTCACATATCCATTGGAAATCCAAAATAATTACTTGCGTTACACAGATTGGCGAAAATAAAACTTTTAATTTCTGAGCTTTGAGAAAGATACTCTGGAGAAACCCGGGTGGGCAGATCCTTATCCCGATTGCCAGAAGCAATCACGTGGCATTTTACAATCCCTTTCATGAGAGTTGCGTAAAAAAAGGGCAGAAGAGAAAGACATGCCATAAACAAGCAGGTCTCTGTTTACTGCTTCCTCAGTGTCAGTTTTATGGTCGCTATGACGTTGATGACGTCGTTCGACACAGAATTACGGCACCTTATCTTTTTTTGGCCTCCATAGCCAGTGGACAAGCATTCAAATTTGTCAACAGGTTTCCGTTTTTGTCCCCCTCTCTTTTCTATTCGTATTTTTTGCGGAAGTTGAATTTTTATCTTCATATTCCTAATGATAATATGGTGGAACTTCTCGTGGGGACCACATCTGAATATGAGCAATATTTCTAAGGGCGTGTATTAATGCTGAGCATTAATTTTTAAGACTGCCACAAAAGATCAAAATCATTTAACCGTGGCCGAAAGTTTTAATTTTGCCATAATCCAAAAAGGAAATTTTAAATTGTGACGCCTTTTGGCTCACATTCATTAGGTCTGAAAGTCTATCCGCAGACCCATGAATCGTCAGTTACTCTTCAAAAATAAATAAATAAATGCTATATAAAAATCTGCAAATCATTTCAGCTACGCCCAAAGGCGCGTTTTTTTTTTTTTTTTTTTTTTTTTTTTTTAAACGTTTTGTGTGTTACTTTTTTTTTTATTAAATACCATGTTCTTTGCACTTAAACCATAAAATTCTATTCAACAGCAATAATACAAAATATTTAAAAGAGCATATCTTTAGAATTTCCGATACACAGTCTCGCGCCCTGGAGATAATATTTCTCCCCGTGAAATCGTCGAGTTCTTTAATCAAAAACTCATAAATGCTTTACAAAATATGAAACAGATAATAAAACAAATGCCAAATTTGGCTTCCAGATGCCCATATGGGTGGAGACGTACATTATTCAAAATTTGATGGCTCTAGGTACCGTTATCTTATCACAATGCAAGAAACACATACATTTATGCAAATTCCTCATTATTTAATTTCTTTAAATATAATACAAGGCGATAATATTTGGTGGCAACGATTTAAAAAGTGATTCAGCGTTTATAAAACTCATAAATACTTTACACAATATGAAACAGATAATAAAACAAATTCCAAATTTGGCTTCCAGATGCCCCTATTTGGGTGGAGACGTACATTATTCAAAATTTGATGTCTCTAGATACCGTTGTTTTATCACAATGCAAGAAACACATACCATTTATGCAGATTCCTCATTATATAATATTTTTAAATATAATGCAGGCGATAATATTTGGTGGCAACAATTTAAAAAATGATTCTCCGTGTATAGTGAACCAACGCAAAATGCCAAAACGAAATTAATAGTTCTTTTGGACAAATTGCCCCTTTGGTCTAAAAAAGTTGAATAGTATTCAGTAGAACGTCTATTAACCGAGTGGACTGCCAGTTTAAAAAATCGCTTTGAAAATAATCTAACTTTAGAAATGATTCAGAGCAAATTATTAATATCTCGCGAATTCTGTTATCAGACTGATCTTTTGACCTTTTTATCAGTGACTAGTCATTTAATCATTAATTACCTTCGTGTTGTGCGTTACAATAAAAAGATATGATTTATTTGTGTTAAAGACAAAAACAACACTAGTCAGACAGCAGCTGCTAATGAATTCATAAGCATATTTCAAAGGATGGGAGTACGAGAAGATATCATTCAACAGAACGTTTTGGAAGAATAAATGCTAAGAAAACAGCAAGCCAAGTTATCATGTTTTGAGTGATGAAGAAATCTATTGCGCCGTAGGTCCTGAAAACAATATAAATTACAGTGATGAGTGATGTTGAAGATGATGATAGAACGGTTGTGAAGAATGTGAAAATTATCCATGCTGAAGCTTTAAGCAAAGCTTTTTAATTCATAAAGCAATACCGTGTTACTTATCTTACGGAGCTTTTGTTGATAGAAATGTTACTTGATTGTGAGTCGGCTGGATACAGTTATAGACTATCACACACAGAAAAAAAAGGTGCTATACTTTTCAGAAAAAAGAGAAAAAGAAAAAAGAGGGGGAAGAAAAGAAAAGGCTCTTAGAAGCATAAGTAACGAAATCAGTTAAACTTTCACAAATTGTGCAAAATTTTAATGGTGTTTGTTTATTTCTGTTTTTTCTATGAATACTTTTTTCGTAAAATAAAATATTTTGTATAGCTTATTTATTTTACGGAAAGAAATAAATTTTATTTGCTAATAATAGGATTTGTTAAAAAGCTAATTTTGCACTTATTTTTATTATTTAATTTTAGGTTTTCCTTCATTTTACAACCTCAATGAATTAATTAACTTGCCAGCCTCTTCCTATACCTGGCTATAACCATTAAATTCTAACTTTCCAAATGAAACACCCAAATGAAAGCTAAGAGCTAAATAAATAATAATAAATAGTTAAGTCAGTGACTACTTTAATTAACATCTGAATTTTTACTCGATAATGTAAAGACGGCAGTCATTTAAGAGACGGGGAGAAAAGCATGTATTTATAAAAATAAGCACATATTTGATCCTAAATTTTATCTTATTATAGTATAAATTAGTTTTATCTTAAATATCTAATTAGAGACGTTGAAATGACGTTTTTACCTTGACCTTCTGAATACCCCTAAATGCACGAGTAAACAGCAAGGTTGGAAATTTTGCAATCGAGTATTACACTCATAGTGTAGAAAAAGACTTGTTATTTGTTCGCTCTTATATTTTACATTCATGGTGCAAAATAAGACTTATTGCAAATATCCTTAAGAAGTTTAGGTAAAAGGACTTTAAATAACTGGTTTATGATGCTCTGCGATTGCTTCCGTTTTTGTATATATATGTATATATTATCATTAACATATCTAAAGAGAAAAGAAGTAGTGAACGAGTTGAGAATAAAGTACGCTAGTACTAAAAGAATAAATTAGCGCAAAGTGCTGCTAAATTATAATTTAAGTTTAAAAGTATTGTTAGATCCACCTTATCAGCAATAAGACCCGAATTTTACCAAGTAAATTAATACATGAACTACATAAAAGCAAAAATCTAAGATTGAGACATAGATTTGAAAGAAGAAATTAAAAAACTAATATACTAAGACATTGATTGGAAATAAGAAAGTAAACAAGGGAAGTACTTGTGCAAAAAATTAAACAATTATGCAAAAAAAATTTTTTTTTTCTAAATCTCCCTTCTCTGGAGCATCATAACAGAACTTGTCAAGGAAAAAGTGTTTTGAAGCTCCATACTTAGTCGATTAATAGGAGAGCCAAGATAAGTTTCTTTCTGACATTCACTGAGACTTGTAAATGCAATATTTAATCTATTTGTCAAATAATAAATTGAAGAATAAGAAGTCTCATTGAATTGTTTCTTTCCCTATTTGTCTTAGCTTTCTAACACAAAAAAGAAAAAGAAATATTTTACATGTATACAATGGCACAGATATAAAATAAAAAATAAAAAAAATAAAAAAAATTAAAAAAAAAAAAAAAAAAAAAAAAAAAAAAAACTTTTTGCGTCAAAATAAACAATAAATACCTGCGCTTTTTGCCAAAAATAAAACGGAAAAATTCAAAATTATCCTCGTTAATAATTAAAAGAGCGGTCTGTTAAAAACCTGAAAAAAAAAGGAGTGTATCGAAAAACTGTAAAGAAAAATGTAAATTTAATATTCAGAGCCCATGTAAGAGAATGCTAATAAAACAGTAACAATTTTAAATTACGGATTTGTAAGAAGAGGAGAAGTGGCTTCAGATTAAAGAAAAATGTATATATATAGATATGTTAATGAGAAAAATTTTAAAATTATTCTTCACTAATTTTCCTCATATTCCTTTGAAAAAATCATTAGTGATGAGACAAAACATAAGAAATTATACCTACAAAACAGGATATTTGACTCCTATTAATTCCTATTATTAATTGAAAAGTTGATTTATAAAAATCAAAAAGAAAATAAAAAGTACCTCTAATACAATTGTAGATAATGTTAAATTATCTGAATATGGCAAAGCACTCGAAAGCTACGTACTTAAGGAAAAAGATTCGTAGAGGACTTTGTAAAGGAAACTGGTTCCTATTTACGCTACACACGGGGAACCAACCATGCAGCCAGTATATTAGTTTGTGTTCGAACCCAAGGTCGAACTACCGGTATTCACTTAACCACTCGACCTCTGGTGGGGCTAATAAAAGCGAATTCAAAAGATTTTAGATTGTATCAATTTTATCACTCCTTGTTTTTCACTCTTATTCATATAAATATTTATCAAAAGCTTTTAATCAAAAATATCTAATAAAATTATATATTCAGTTAGATGAAAATTTAGTTCTGATTTGTTTTTCATCTATTAGTTCAATTCATGTTTCATACTTTAGACCGTCATATTTTTAATGGAATTTGTATGCAAGAAAACTATAGTCAAAATTAATATAATTTAGCAATGGGGTAATATATTAATTCCTTTTCCTCTTCCTCTTTTGAAGTTTGTTAATGAAAAATGAACACAACAAAAAATATGAAATTCAGTTTATTTTCATTGTCTTAAATGCTTATTAAAATACAAATCATTAAATAAATGTCATTAATCGGAATAAGCGAGCATTCATGAAAATGTAGTTCAAATGATTATAAAGTAACATTTGATACCTGAGAAATTACATTACCACATTGTTCATATTTTTTTCAGCTTCTCATAAATTAAAGATGACCGAAGAATTTGTCAGATCAATATCTAAAAGAAGAAAAATATAGCATTAGTTAGCAGTTATAAAATTATAAAAATATAAATCACAATTATAAAATTATAATTTTAAAACTTGCTAATATTGCTTTAAATGACGGATTATTATTCAGAGATTAAAATTTCTAGAAGCAATTAGGTGCAAACAGTTTTATTTGAGC